GCAACCTCCGCCTCCCGGGTTCAGGCAATTCTCCTGCCTCAGCCTCCTGAGTAGCTGGGATTACAGGCACGCGCCACCATGCCCAGCTAATTTTTTGTATTTTTGGTAGAGACGGGGTTTCACCATGTTGTCCAGGATGGTCTCGATCTCTTGACCTCGTGATTCACCCGCCTCGGCCTCCCAAAGTGCTGGGATTACAGGCTTGAGCCACCGCGCCCGGCATGCCATGTTCTTAAGACAACTTTTCTTGGTGGAAGAAGAAAATAGTCATGAAGAAAGTAAGAATTAGATATGTGAAGAAAAAGTCATTTTAAAAAATAACCTTGGCCAGGCACGGTGGATCACGCCTGTAATCCCAGTACTTTAGGAGGTGGAGGTGGGCAGATCACCTGAGATCAGGAGTTCGAGACCAGCCTGACCAACATGGAGAAACCCCATCTCTACTAAAAATACAAAGTTAGCCGGGCATGGTGGCATACGCCTGTATCTCAGCTACTCGGGAGGCTGAGGCAGGAGAATGGCTTGAACTTGGGAGGTGGAGGTTGTGGTGAGCTGAGATCGCACCATTGCACTCCAGCCTTGGCAACAAGAGTGAAACTCTGTCTCCAAAAAAAAAAAAATTAAATTAAAAATTTAAAAAATAACCTTGTTTGGGTCATACAGTAGTTGATGGTTTTTCATTGACTTTATCTTTCATCACTGATGATACCTTCACCTCTATCCATGCTCCTTACCTTTTTTTTTTTTTTTTTTTGCAGCTTATAGTAGCTGTTGAACAAGAAGAAATTCCGAGACTTAAGGCTCTATATGAGAGAGGCCTGCAGAATGGAGTCCAGGGCCTGCGGCTGATCCAGCAGGAGGATATAAAAAAGAAGGAGCCATATTGTAGGGTAAGTGATTAACCAGCTTCATGCACATGTTCAAAGGGATGTTTTCATTTAGGGCTTAGTCCTGTGATATGGAGGCTGAGAGGTGAGTTTATAGGAGGCAGGAATAATATAAAATCAGATAGATGATCCTGTCACAGATATAGTGAAGTGATAGACAAAAGAGGGCATTGCCACAAAGTCTGGACACCTGATTTCTTTCTCTGTGAGAAAATACCAGGTCTGACCAACATGAACAAAGATACGAGGCCTGAGGCCATATGGCATGTTTGGAAAACATGGAGCAGTAAGGTGTGGTTGGGAGCATTGGGTGGCATATGACGAAAGATAAGGGATGAGACTGGAAAGTCAGGGTTAGGCCCACATAAAGGGCTTGGCATTCAGCCTTACCCTGCCTATAATAAAAATCAGACACTATAGCTGCCTCATGGTTAAGATGGATAAGGCTGGCATGAGTTTGAAGAGTAGCTTGTAGAGTATCTTCCTTAAAACTTGCCATAGGGAAGAAAACCAGATCTTTATTCATGAAAGAGACATGAATAGTAATATAATAGTTATTCTGCATGTTAACTTTCACTGATAGCCTTTCAGAGACTATTAGTCCAACTTCCCAGTTCCACTGACTGTTCTAATGAATGGCCAGTTTTTCCTGTAGGTAGAAATTTAACTGTTCCAATAGCTGGACTCCAGAATCCTGTCTCAGAGAATGTGACCTTGAACTCACTATCAGGCAATGCTTTTTAACTTGGTTTAGAGAAACATGGGAAATAGGCTGAAAAATATGTAGACTATTAGACCATTTATTTGTTCATATACATCTCTCAGATGGCACGCCTACACTGCAGTGTTTTGCCTTCCCCATTCTACTCCTTGACCCCAGTTACTGTCTTTGAATTGTGCTTTGGTTTTATGGCATCAGCCTATAAGAAGGTCATTGTATCAGTCACTGTGGCCTCTATTGTAAGGATGCAGTTGAAGACGTAAGTTATTCAACTGTGTTAAATGACATCTTGCTCTGAGAACCTGCAGGAGAAATTTCTCTCAGATCTTAGTTCTGAGAATAATTTTAGTCTTCCTAACCAGAGTTGGTTTGTTTTTATCTTATGGACACTGAGTAATTTAACTGATTGCTTTGCCCTGTTTACCGTGACTGCAGGGATGCTCAGAGACACATTTGTGCCGTACTCCTGCCAGATAACTGGTGCCTTAAGCATAAATTTTTATTTGTGTATACTAACTTTTCACTTCAGTTTGTCTTATCTTTCCATCCTCCTTTTCTGTATAGCCTAGTTTCTTGGAACTATAATGTACAATGGAAATCATAAATGGATAGCTTAGTGAATGCTCACCAAGTGTGATCAGTACCCAGGACAACAAACAAATGTTACCGACCTCCCAGTACTCCCCTCATGTTCTTCCATTAGGACATTGCTCTTAAGGATAACCACTGTCCTGACCTCTTACATCATAGGTGATTGAATTTTAAGTAAGTAGAATGATATGATATGTATTCTTTTGTGTCTGAGCTTTTTTTTTTTGAGACAGGGTTTTGCTCTGTTGCCCAGACTTGAATGCAGTGGCACAGCATTATCATAGCTCACTATAACTTTGAACTTCTGAGCCCAAGTAATCCTCCCACTTCAGCCTCCTGAGTAACTGGAACAATAGGACTGTGCTACCACACCCAGCTAATTGTTTTTATTTATTTTTTATTTTTTTGTAGAGACAAGGCCTCACTATGGTACCCAAGCTGGTCTTGAATTCCTGGGCTCAAGTGATCCACCCATCTTGGCCTCTCAAAGTGCTAGGATTACAGTTGTCAGAAACCATGCCCAGCTGTGTCTGGGTTTCTTAATATTGTTTATGAAATTCATCCATATTGTTACATATATTTGTAGTTTGTTGTTGTTGCTGTGTAATACGTCATTCATATGTATGTATGTAGAACAATTCATTCTACTGTTGATGGGCATTTGGATAGTTTCTAATTTGGGATTCTTCCAGATAATGCTGCTATGAAAATTCTAGTACATAGGTTTTGGTGAGCACACATACACATTTTTATTGGCTGTATACCTATGAAGGAACTTGCTAATTTGCAATTTATGGATATGTTTAGCTTTGGCAGGTATTGCCAAAGAGTTTTCCAAAGTGTTTGTCCCCATTTATACTCTCATTAGCAGTATATGAGAGTTCCAGTGCTCTATATCCTCAACTAACACTTGGTGTTGCTTATTGTTTTTATTTTAGCCATTCTAGTGGGTATGTTGTAGTATTATATTATGATTTTAATTTATATTTTCTCATGGACTCATACATTTATGCACCTTTGTATGTATTTATTGACCATTTGGATATTTTATTTTGTGAAGTATCTGTTTGAGTTCTTTCCCCACCTTCGTATTGGGTTGACTGTCTTTCTTATAATTATTAATTCTTACTCAATTTTAGGACATATGTAGTGTGGATATGAGTCTTTCGTTGGAGAGATATATATACATATATATATATATGGTATGTATACACACAAAAAAACTATCACAGATACCTTCTACCACTCTGTAGCATGTCATTTTACTCTTTTTTTTTTTTTTTGAGATATAGGGTCTCACTCTGTCACCCATGCTGGAGTGCAGTGGTATGATCACAGCTCACTGCAATCTTGAACTCCTGAGCTCAAGCGATCTTCCTGCCTCACCCTTCTGAGTAGTTAGGACTACAGGTGTGTGTCGCCACACCCAGCTAATTTTGTATTTTTATATTTTTGCAGAGATGGGGTCTTGCTATGTTACCTAGGCTGATCTCGAGCTCTATGGCTCAAATGATCCTCCTGCCTTGACCTCTGGAAGTACTGGGATTGTAGCATTTCACTTTTTAAATATCATTTTTAGATTAACAGAAATTCCTAATCTTAATGTTACCAATTTATGCATATGTTTGTCTTTTATGCTTAGTGTTTCTTTGTGCTCTAGTTAAATTTTCTGGATGCATTCAAAAACTTGGTACGAAAAATAAAATAGAAAAAAAAAGAAATCTTTACCTAGCCCAAGGTCTGGAAGATATTCTATGTGTTTTTCTAAAAGCTTTACTGCTTTACCTTTCACATTTAGATCTGCAGTCCATTTGGAATTGATTTTCATAGATGGTATAAGTTAGGGGCCAAGGTACATTTTTTTCCCCATATGGATATCCAGTTGAGTCAGCATCATTTATCAAAAGAACCATTATTTCCCCATTGTGCTGCAGTATAGCCTTTATGATATCAGATATATGGTGGGTATATGTCTGGACTCCATTGTGTTCCATTGCCTCTTCTATGCTGCTACCATAATGTTTAATTATAGTAGCCTTTTTTTTGAAATGGGGTCTTACTCTGTCACCCAGGCTGGAGTGCGGTGATATTATCACAGTTCACCATGGCCAGCTAATTTTTAAATGTTTTGTAAAGATAGAGTCTCACCATATTGCTTAGGCTGGTCTTGAACTCCTGGGCTCAGGTGATCTTCCTGCCATGGCCTCTGAAAGTGCTAGGAATAGATGCATGAGCCACTGCACTCAGCGTATAGTAGCTTTTTAATAGGTCTAGGTATCTGGTAGAGTAAGGCCTTGAGTTTTTTTCTTCAACATTGTCTTGGCTATTCTTAGATCTTTACATTTCTACATAAATTTTAGAGTTTATTTGCCAAACTCTACAAGATAACCTGTTATGATTTTGATTGAGATTGCATTCAATTTGTATGTCTATGTGGAGACAATTTACATCTTTGTAGTATGGAGTCTTCCAGTCCTTGAACATCATACATCCCTCCATTTGTCTGGATCTGCTTTAATTTATTACATAATGTATTATAATTTTCAGAATAGAATTCTTGCAGGGCATATGTCTCTTACATTTACAGCTCCAATTTGTATTTGATGTTTTCTGATACTCTCATGAATAGTATTGCTATTTAAAGTTCATTTTTTGTTTGTTGCAGGTCTGTGGAAATACAGTTGAGTTCTGACCTTGTATCCAATTTTCTAGTTAAATTCACTTATTGTTTTTAATTAATTTGTCTATAAATTCTTTTGGATTTTTATACCCAGACATTTTATCTGCAAATAATAATTATTTTATTTCTTCCTTTCTGATTCATATACTTGGCTGATCCAATGTTTAATGCCAGTTTATATGTGTTTTTCATTTATTTTTACAAGCTGCTTCATCCTTTCGGCTTTTCCTTTATTTCTGGCTGTAAAGTTAAAGTTGGGTCAAAATAAGCAAGATTTTCTTAATTCATGTAAAGCTCCTAAGAAGCTGATAGTACCTAGGAATCTAAACAGTGTTGAATGAGTTCTTACTGTAGAGAAGGTTGTAGCATCTTCATCTTCAACAAGCCTCCTATTCCTTTTCTGGTACCAGCCAGGATAATCAAATTATTTTGCTTGTGGGATACACTAGGTCTTGCTACTTCCCTTTTCTCCCCTCAGATATTTCTTATCTGTCTGAGACAGTAAATTAATGACTGATTTGTTTTTAAGTAGAATATTTTCATTGACCATCTTATTTTGGCCACCTGCCTATTTCACACTCTGGGCAAATTCTAAATGGTCAGAGTTGGCAAATTCTGTCCTGTAGGCCAAATTCATCCTGCCACCTGTTTTTGTATGGCCTGAAAGCTAATGTTTTTTACCTTCTAAGTGTGTTAAAAAAAATTAAAAGAAGAACATTATTTTGTGATTAATTAAAATTTTATGAAATTCAGCAGGGCATGGTGGTGTATGCCTGTAATCCCAGCCACTCGGAAGGCTAAGACGGGAGAATTGCTTGAACCTGGGAGGCGGAGGTTGCAGTAAGTAGAGGCTGGGCAACTGCACTAAAGCCTGGGTGATGGAGCAAGACTTTGTCTCAAAAAAAAAATTATATGAAATTCACATTCAGTGTCCATAAAGTTTTATTGAAATACAACTTTACATATTCATTTATGTATTGTCTGTAGCTGCTTTTGTGTCAAACAGCCTAG